AAATTCCAGTATATGTCCCATAGTTTGTAGATGCTATAACGTTTGCGCAAACTAATCAATACACTCTTACTGGGATTTTTTTTTTTAACAAAAATATGTAGCAAAAAGTGGAAAATGCAGAGGTGATCAAATACCACCAAAAGAAAGCTCTAGTTGTGGGAAAAAAATGACATACATTTTTGCAAGATCCGTGCATTTGTCTCACTAAAAGTTCCAGCTTCCAGAGATGTCAATGGTAGCAACAAACTCCAGATGGGAGCCAATTTACATGCAGCGAGATTCATGCAGCTTGCAAAGGAGATCCACAGAGATCCAGTGAGCTCAAATGAAAGAAGAGCAGTGCGGGATCCTCATTAGCATGATCAAATTTATTGAAAGCACACTTACATTCAAGTTTCTTGACATTCAACATGGGAATGGGTGAGAGCACCGCAAGCTGTCAGTGAGCTTCGGCAGTAATATTATCCTCAGTTGGCATGAGAGAACTTGGCTTTGACATCTGTCAAAAGCTGCCAATGCCTGAAGTCCCAGTATGTTCCATTCTGCCTTGTGGCAACCCATACACGCTTGTGAGAGGAGGTGACGGTGATGCGTTTCAGAGCTACACTCCTCTTTTATCAAAGACCTGCCCCACAAGATGACAGATGGATTTAAATAGGATTGGTTCAAATGGCCAGTGCTGTGTGTGACCAACAGCGTCACAGCGATTATTCCCCGTACTCAATTGGCTCAACTGGACTTAAAAGCACATGAAATTGTATGACAACATGTAAGAACCTCAGTCAGATCATCAATCATGTTGTAAGGGCAGAGGAGATATCTTGAGTCTAATAGACCCCAGATTTCTCAGAAAACAGTACCTGTCACTGCCTATTGCTACCACAGGGGATATTTATATCCCCTGTGATGACAATAATCGGAAAAAAAATAAATAAAATGTTTCATGGACTCAACATGCCTCGTAGCAAATTCCTTGGGGTGTCTAATTTCCAAAAAGGGGTAATTTGGGGTTTTTTTGTGCTGTCCTTGCATTTTAGCACCTCAAGAAATGTGATAGGCAGTCAGAAAGTAAAAGCTGCATAAATTCCAATAAATATACCATAATTTGTAGATACTATAACTTTCATACAAACCAATTAATATACAAGTATTGGGATTTTTTTCCACCAAAGCCATGTAAGACCAAAGCAGAGGAGAGATCTAGAGTCTAATAGACCCTAGATTTCTTAGAAAAGAGTACCTGTCACTGTCTATTGCTATCACAGGGGATATTTATATTCCCTGTGATAACAATAAAAGTGAGCGGAAAAAAAAAAAAGGGACAGTGAAAAAATATTTTGAAAAAGCAAAATAAATAATAATAAAAAAAAATTCACCCCTATCCCTGTGCACTCGCACAAAGGCAAGGAGCGGTCCTCTGGCGGTATGTAAACAGAGATTGCACCATGCATGTGAGGTATCACCACAAACGTCAGATTGAGTGCAGTAATTCTAGTTCTAGACCTCCTGTGTAAATCTAAAGTTGTGACCTCTAAAAGGTTTTAAATCGCCGCCTATGGATATTAAAAATGTATATAATTTGTCGACATTGCACGGGCATGTGCAATTTTAAAAGCATGTCATGTTTGGTAACCATTTACTTGGCATAACATCATCTTTTATATTTGGCATTTGAAAAATTGCTGCACAAATACTGTGTGACATAAAAACATTTCAACACGCACCATTTTATTCTCTAGGACTTCTGCTTTTAAAAAAAAAAATATGATGTTTGGGGGTTCAAAGTAATTTTCTAGCAAAATAAAAAGTGTCAGAAAAGGCTTGGTTTTTAGGTGGCTAGAAGAGTTGGTGATGTGTGACATAAACTTCTAAAGTTGGCCCTGAAATGACAGAATAGTAGAAGCCCCTCCCCCCCCCCCAATGACCCGTTTTTGGAAAGTAGACACTCCAAGGTATTTGTTAAGAGGCATGGTGAGTATTTTGAAAACGAAAATTTATTTTTTCTTTTATTATTTTTAAAAAACCCTGTGACAAAAATTATATCTACAAAATACTCACCATGCCTCTTATCAAATTCCTTGGGGTGTCTACTTTCCAAAAACGGGTCACTTGGCGGGGGGGGGTGTTGTACTATCCTGGCATTTTAGGGCCTCCGAAACAGTGATAGGTAGTGAGGAAGTGATATGTGGAAATACGCCCTTTGAAAGACTGGCGGTGGTCATTGGATTTTGAGGGCCTGTTATTTACCAAAACTGGAGAGTGCAAAATCTGGTGCAGTTCTGCAGAGAAACCAATCAGCTTCTAGGTTTTATTGCCAAAGCTTAATTTAACAAGTTAGATGCTGATTGGTTTATAATCCCACTGACTAACTGCTTGGCATCTCTGGAGGCTCAGAAGGGTCCTGGAACTGGTATCCATCTCTCCCTCCGTATCAATTAGACACACATGCCAAAAAAGAAGCTCTTATAGTGTAGTATTTATTTTTAAATTTAAAAGTAAGAACAATCATAATGATCCCCCTCACATATCAAAGTGCCTGTATTTGGCACCAACATACACAATCCAATAGGTTACAGCTGGGATGCCACCGCTCCTCTCTCCATAAGCCAGATACGATGGCCCAGATGTGACATCACCGGAACCCAGATGTAATGGCTGAAGTCTCGGCCTCAACGCATTTCACTGTAACCGGTGTCCTGAGGAAGCTCAGGCACAGGAATACAGGCACTATGAAATGTGATCATTATTTAATTGGGAGTGGAGTGCCACTGATAAGTGTACAAAATGGATCTAATACAGGTAAGCAGTCTGAAAATGCAGTCAGGTGAGGTGCTGTGATACCACTGACCATGAAAGAATCTATCAAGATACTTAAAATGACTATTAAAAATCAATATGATAACTATTCTAAATAGTGTTATGATTTCTTATGTAAAAGCATTTTTTCATTTAGTTATTCATATATAACTCCTAACTTATCATCCTTTAAAGATAACTTTAACCACACACTATCTCCTGTATGCACTAAAAACACAGACACAGATATCTAGATATCATCATATGAATTTCAACTTTTAAAATACGTTGTTTATTCTTTTTATTGAGCTGGCAATATACAGTATGTCAAGTTTTGTCATAATGTTCAACTATGTATACATTTGCTTGCATACATTAAATACAATATTTATTTTATATAACAGAGATAATAGGAATTAAAGTGAAATAAAATAATAAAACATATCTTATCTGCTTTGTGCAATGGTTTTGCATAGACTAGTCACTTTCCTCCTTTTCTGGGGTCCCCCACCAGTGGTCTCAGTTCCTCTTTCTCTCGGCTCCTCCTCCCTTCTAGGTGACCCAATAGCAAGTCGCTTGCTATAGGGCACTCATGCAGGCTTGATCCCATGCTGGGCTGTGTGCATCTATAGACAAACACAGCACAGCTTGGCCCCGCTCCTTCCTTACAAGTTTTGATTGACAGCACTGAGTCCAGTGAGAGAGAGAACAGTTCTACTGATCTTGGGTACAGCACTGGATCAAGATAGGACTCGGATAAGTATTTAGTTGTGTAGGGGGATGGGGAAGAAGCTGATCATGGAAGGTATTTTACTTTAATGCAGAGAAGGCATTAAGGCACAAAACCTTATGCATTTACAACCACTTTAATATGTATCTACAGTCAGTCTTAGTTTTCAGTAGAACAGGATGGGAACAGGTGAAGATAGCAAGGGAGAGGGGAAGGAGAGGAAAAGAAAGCAAGGGAGAGGGGAAGGAGAGGAAAGCAAGGGAGAGGGGAAGGAGAGGAAAGCAAGGGAGAGGGGAAGGAGAGGAAAGCAAGGGAGAGGGGAAGGAGAGGAAAGGAAGGGAGGGGTGAAGGAGAGGAAAGGAAGGGAGAGGTGAAGGAGAGGAAAAGAAGGGAGAGGTGAAGGAGAGGAAAGGAAGGAAGAGGGGAAGAAGGGGAAAAAAGGAGGGGAGGGGAAGGAGGAGGAGAGGAGAAATGAGGGGAAAGGAGGGGAGAGGGGGAAAGGAGGGAAAAGGAGGGGGAGAGGGGGAATGGAGAGGGAAAAGAAGGGAGAACGGGAGAGGGGAAAGGAGAGGGAAAGGAAGGGAGAGGGGGAAAGGAGGGGAGAGGGGGAAAGGAGAGGGAAAGGAGGGGAGAGGGGGAAAGAAGAGAAGAGGGGAAAGGAGGGGAGAGGGGAAAGGAGAGAGGGAAAGGAGGGGAGAGAGGGAAAGGAGGGGAGAGGGGAAAGGAGGGGAGAGGTGAAAGGAGGGGAGAGAAGAGGGAAAAGAGGGGAGAGGGGAAGGAGAAACAAAGGAGGGGGAGAGGGAGAGGAGAGGAGAGGAGAGGGGAAGGAGAAGGAGAGAGGAGGAAACAGGTGAGGATAGCAAAGAGGAGAGGGGAAGAGAGGGAGAGGGTAGTGAGTAGGAGAGGGGAAGGAAAGGGAAGAGGAGGGTACAGATAAGAACAAAGGGGAGAGAAGGAACAGAAGAGATTGGGGTGATGAAGAGAAAGGAAGGAGAGGGCCCTAAACATAGCAAAAAGGATAAGGCTGTAGCCAAATGCAGTAGCTACACATTTAAATGAATAAGAACATCATAGTTTAAATCTTGAAACCATTCTTCTACTGATACATTCCCACTCATGAACATATGTGGTTTATGGCTCATTATCACAGATAAAACAGCCACAGTTATTTGGCCTAAGGCCACTGTGTTCTCTTGCAATATCCCAGATATGGTCTTGGTGTATTGTCACAAACAATATTTGCTGAAGAAGAAAAATAGTTATTGAACTTGCCCAATTTAGTATGCCTGTATAAATACCAGGAAAGTGTGTGAAATGAAGGTTGGAAAACACTGTGGACATCACACCGGTGTAAAGATGGAGAAGGTTTCTTTGTCTTTGACGACAGACTGATCTTTTTCCTTTGTCAATATCATAAGATTGCTGCTAAGTATAACCAAATTGGGTGTTTATTGGATTGTCACTGACAAAAGTCTTACATAACCACCATATTGGGCAGGCCATACAGTGTATAGTTAAAAAAGTATGAGTCTGCACCAGGTACTGATGGATTCCTTGAACTACGTTCTTCTTCAGAGACATCTCCTTCTGTGGAAACATAAAAAGACTAAATTTTATAGTGTGTAACATAAAATTTGTATTTTTCTGCTGCCACACACAAGAAGGGAAACCTTTGAAGATCAATGCCACATAAAGATATGTAGAGAGTCATTCCATTCAGTAATGAGGTTAGAAAATTTTGAAGCAAGAGATCATTTGCTGGATGTTTTCATTGTCTAAATACTGCAAACTAGTTCCAAGGAAGGCATCCACCTCACTTGCAGCAATACAGAGCAGCTACTTCACTGCCCTGATATTGGCACACAGCTTGTGAGCTAGTCATTGGAACCAGAAAACTAATGAACTTGAAGATAGATTCTCTTCAAAGCCCAACGCTAGATATGGCAAACCCCAACAATGGAATGCAACCCATGCCTTTGGAGCAAATCCCTGCATTCCTTTTTATAAAACATGTTTGTATATGTAGCTCTTTGGAACTGTATTTGACTTGGTCATGTGACAGGGATTCTTTTTCCTGTGGCAGTGGAGGGAATTCCTCTCTGATGAAGAAAAGAGCACTCACATAGTGATATGAGCGCTGTTCTCTGCACCATTCCCCCTGTGAGTCCAGGATTGCTTGATGACACAGACAAAGAGGACATGCCTTTGGCAACTTGGTCTCACAGGACCAAAAAAAAAAAAAAATACACATTATTATTTAAAAAAAAAAATGTTCAATAGTTTCTTTTTTTTAAATATACTTGCAAAGCATTGAAACTGTGATAAGTGGATCGCAGGTGCAATGCCTGTCTCCTGCAGACTCTTCCACCAGCTCTGTGCCTGTAATGAAGGTCAGACTTTCAGTTAGAGAGCTTGTAGTTTAATCATTCATAAATCCCTGTGAATGAATGACGTGGCTGTGCGGGGGAGCCATCTGACAGCTGCTGCTGGGTAGAAGAACCCTAGCAGACCATCAGAAGGGGGGAGTCAGCAGTGCTACAGGGGATGGAGGATGGCACAGGGGGGCCCAGACAGCACAGGGAAGAGGGTGGATCACAGGGAGAGTGATTGGTGTGGTGTGGGGGGGAGCAATTACGGAAACAAATCCCATGTATCTCTCTCTCTACAGCAGTTGAAAGCCGACTGGAGGGAAAGGAGGAAAAGCCATATTTCAGTAATTGCCCCCACCACCGTACCATTCATCCTCCCTCCCCACATCCAATTCCCACTGTGCTGCCCAGGCCACCTGCTACCCTGAGCTCCATACAGGAGGACCGGTGGTACAACCTTATCGGTGACCCTGGAAATGTTCTATTAAGTTGGAAAGGAAACATTCTCATTAATTCTGCACAGGTAGAGTGGATGGAAGACAGATAGTATGCTGGATACAGAATGTTAAGACTGGGGAAGTACAGGCAGGAGCGATCACGGTAAATTCCCTCCACCCAAAGCTTTGATGCTCTTGTAGTTCTTTGATGCTACAGACCAGTAATATATCCTTAATGAAAAGGCTGTGCAGAAACATTATAGAAACAAATATACACAACATGAATGAGTGAAACTGTCCTGAAATGTACTCATACTGTGGATACATGCAGCAGAACACCAGGCCTGATTTAAAGTAATACGTACCTTTCACTTCTGAGCAACTCTTGAGTTTTTGCAGGCTGTGTACAGTCTGCCCAGTGGTCTTCCCAAGTGCTAGCAGATCTGTAATATTAAATAACAAAATGCAACATGTAAAAATATGATCACCAGCAATCTATATGACAGATGCAATTAAAAACATTTTGTTTAGGCTCCCTCTTGATTTGATCAAAGAAAAGAGCGGAGGAAAATTCCAAGTCTGGCATTCTGTAACAATCCCGCATACACACTCATTGTCCTGTGCTGAATTTCTAACATCTGGACTTCTACAGGAGTACTTTATTCAACCCAGTACTGTTCTGCCATGACCACATAGCAGGGGAAAAAGATGGGGGATTAACTTTTACAACCGCTAACCAATAACACGTCGGGGGATTACATTTCACTGCCTGTGACTACCAATGTGGGGGAGGTTATTAGTACCGGCACCATTGCTGGGGGCTATTATTGCATCCACTGACACCAATGCTGAGGGTTGTTATTGAGTCCATTGACACCAATGTTGGAGGTTATTACTGCACTCATGGACACCAATGTTGGGGTTTTTTATTACTGCAACTGACATCAGGTCCAAAATTTTTTATCTGACGCAATGTGCCTCAATGCACAAAAATGCACTGCTACTGTGCAGCAATCTGGAAGTGTTAGGGGCCACACTTCAGACAGTTTATACATTTTAAGTTGACCACCACTGATGTAAACTAAAGCTGACCATACACTCTAGCATCCTCCAACCACACTATACAATGAAAATGAACAAATGTCCTTAGCTACAGCTATTGTATATTGACGACGGACCTAGCCAGATGTCAAAATACTCGAAGAGCAGCTGCTTCAGATCAGACCCAGCAGCTGTTCAGCCAACAATTTTTTTAGCTTTCAATCGAATGATGTCGGACAGGAGGGGGTCGAATGCCAGTTGGTTCATCATCAATTGGCCAAAATTTGCACACTGTATGGCCACTTTTAGGCTACTGAAGGCACCACATCACCACAAGACGTGAAACTGTATATTTACTGTAAGAAAGTGGCAAAGCCCAAAAAAAATGGGCACTCTGGAGGTATGGGCAAAAAAAAGTTAGTATTCAGTCTCCTAATTTGCAGGAATAGCTGAAACGGATTTTTGTAATGATATTCTGCTTTTAAGCCACAGGTAGATGTCAGCAAACGTAAGCGGGCTATAGATTTTTCTGGGTGGCCCAAAGGCACATAATTGCTTAGCAGGCAGCAGGAAGGCAACTTATTGAGTGGAATGACAAGCATTTGGTGCAGGTTTTCTGAACTGTCAGTTCGACTGTTCTCCTCTAAGTCTCCTCAATGGTCAGCCACATACCTAACTTAATTTTTGACCAGAGTGGGCAAGTGTCACCTCATGTCTAAGGCTAGTCCAACACTTGACAAATACTGTTGTTTACCTATGCAGTCTCTTCCATTGGCATTGATGTCTACTTTGAGATTTGTTCAGAGGATACAAAGCTTGACATTTGCAACCTGGATTTGTCAGGCACCATACATACATCCTGAAGTATGATGAGCTACATCAGCCTAGTGAAAGACAACTACAGTTACTAAAATACATATCTACTCACACTCTGAGAGGAAGTCCAATCTTCTAGCGTTCTGTTCCACACTTGTGTTCCACTGGTTGAGCATTATAGAGCGAACCCCTGCTACACTTAGTAGGAGGGCCGTCTCCATTGGTCTTTCTAGTCTCAATTGACTTTTACTAAACAAACAGCAAAACATGATTTAATGAGTTAACTGTTACAGGAAGTGATTACTACCAGCAATAATTAAAAACAGAGGGCTTTAAATAGAAAATAAAGGCATGCAGTACTTTCACAACTGAAAATACATGTGAGAAGAATGGTCTGAATATTTTTTCGGTTTTTTTCCAAGATACACAGATATTGTTCCAGCAACAAGAATCGTACAACTCAGTATCATCTGTTATACTATCATTCATTATATAAGTAACATGCATTTTAAATTGATGGCTTTACTCAAAGCAGTAGTCTCCAAACTGTGGCCCACAAGCTGGATGTGGTTCTTTGCTTGCTTTTATCCAGCCCTTTGGGCACCATTCCATTCACTGACACTAATGATGGGGCACCATTCCTCCCACTGACACCAATGATCAGGCACTGTTCCTCCCAAAGACAGCAATGGTGGGGCACTATTCCTCTCACTGACACCAATGATGGGGCACTATTCCTCCCACTGACACCAATAAAGGGGCATTATTCCTCCCACTGACACCAATAAAGGGGCATTATTCCTCCCACTGACCCCAATAAAGGGGCACTATTCCTCCCACTGCAACCAATAAAGGGGCACTATTCCTCCCACTGACACCAATAACGGGGCACTATTCCTCCCACTGAAACCAATAAAGGGGTACTATTCCTCGCTTGAATACCAACAATGGGGCACCATTCTTCTCACTGATACTGACAAAGTGGCATTATTCTTCACTAAAACCAAAGATGGGGCATGGTATACTCCCATTGACGCCAGGATGTGTTCTACTCCCACTAGCCACAGTCTAGCCCTCCTAAAGTCTGAAGGACAGTAAACTTGCCCACTGATTAGAACGGGAGACTCCTGACTTAAAGGATATCATGGTCTTTGGACAATATATAAAATACATATATACACACACACACGCATATATATATATATATATATATATATTTTTTTTTATATATATATATATATATATATATACACACATGCACATTTAATGTGATCAGCTAGATGTAAATATTCATTTTACATATTAAACAAATAAAAATTAGAATGTGATTGGAATGACAGTGATCACCACTGAGAACTAGTTTGCCGAACTGCTAAGCTATGCTGCTAGCTGAAGAAGCTGATTGTGTGTATAGTATAAGCTGGTAGATTCTACCAGACTTAAGCCGGCCATACACTAAACGTTCGTATGAACATTCATACAAAAATTCTCACATTTGATGACTTGTTGAATGTCAATCAAAAGAACTTCATTTTTGTTTGCTTTTAACAATCGATTGTGGAGTCAATAGACTTTACCAAACCACACACACTTTTAGAAATTCTTTTAGTTGCAAACATTTGCCATACAGACTTCACATTTTATAACAGAGTTATAAAAAGCGAAAGCCAATTTAATTTCACTAATGATTTGAACGAATGTTCTTAAAGATGAAACATTTTGAACATAATTCTACTAGTGAATGGCCAGCTTAAGTCAACAACTCACAACTCTTCTGTAATTAATTTACAGAACATCTCCAATTCACACAGCAACAAAGAAGAAAGCATACAGCAAGTTTTATTGTCACTAAAGCATGAAAGCTAAAAGTTGTATTAAACCCAAAAATGAAAATATATTGCAGCTTACCAATCAGTAATCAATCATTTTTTTTAGTTTCCCACTGGTGATCTGGCCAGTAACACACCTCCTGTATTAGAGTGCCTCCACTCTGGATGAAGGAGCACAGGGGTACCTTTGGAGGGCAGCATTTATTTTAGAACCAGTGATGTCTTCACTGGATCTCTGTGCTTCCCTACGCAAGCAGGCAGATCATGGCTGGGGGGGGGGGGGGAGCTGGCAGGATGCTGTACACAGCTTCCTGAAAACATTCCCCAGCCCAGATGCAAACAGTGGACTAGCTTTTTGGAGGAGTTATGCAAATATTAAAAAGCCCTAATGGGTGGAGGTCATTGTAAAGGAATAAGCATTCCTAGGCTGGCTGCATTTGCATGCAGAGTGCTCTAGGTATCACCTACATGTGATGCAGAGCACCCATGATTGAATGATCTGATATCCAATGAATGAAAGAAGAGGGCCAGAGCCATCAAGGCTGGGGAGAAAAGGATAAATACTCTTAGAGGTCATCCAGACAGGAAATGATGCAGGCTCTATCTGACTTGCTGCAGCTTCTAATGAACACTGTGGGAAACAATGTGCAGTGAAATCAGAGCCATCCATCTGAGTACAGGAGAAGAGCCTGTACAATTGTACAAGACTGATGGAAAGGTTGTAGTTCAGCAGTAAAACTGTCCATGTTTTTTACAGTCTTGTAGGGTGCTGGTGGTGGTGGGGTTCCATAATACATCAATATTGTAGATGTTTTTATACACCAAAAATATCCAAAGTTATTTACTTATTAGTTTAGTCAACATTTTTACCTCTTTTGTACATCGATGGTTGATTGCCTTGAAAAACTCTGACTTGTGCGCACCTGGTCTAAAAGAATCATCAACTGACAGCCTGAAAAAAGATATTCAATAAAAAGAAAACTTTATGCAATTTACATTTGCACACTGAAATTAATTATCCATTTCATAATTGTGCCACCACTGCTGCAGGATCTCCAGATCACGTTATTGGATCTCATCTTGCTGTAAGTGAAGGTAGTCATTGTGCCGACTGGGATGATTTATCAATCAAGTCACTCTATATACAAATGCTACTCTGCTATATTTTGTGTCCTTGGAGAAAAACGTAGTAGTAAACAGGAAATCTCAGAATCCAGGGTTCAACCCATCACACCCTCTAAGTCTAAATCTTAATAGAGGTTTGGGGATTACGGGGAAAAAACTCTGTGGTTAAGGTATAAAAAGTATGCCAACAGTTAAATGTATTTTTGTCTATCAGCCAATCAGCTTTCAACTGTCATTGCATGTTGCAAATAAAAGAAGAAAAAGAAGAAATATTCTTGTTAGCACACATTTAATAAATTAGCACCAATATGCTTCAAAGTATCTTCCAGTTTGCTTTTTACTGCTTAAAAGCCAAGATTCTTTTGTAACCCATGAAGCTGTAAAGGTTCTCTTTAATGTAGATCTCAACAGTCACATCTTTCTCTTTCATTCCCCCATTACTAATGTGACAGACCCAACTGGGACAGGGGCATTTGGAGGGGACTGCAGACTAGCCTCTTGCCTACTGACCATGGGCCCTGGGATGTGAGGGGGCTCTATTTTTTGGGAGGTGTGTGCCTGGGGGGATTAGAACACGTGAGGTTTTTATTACTGTCTGTATCCGGTTTACTGTTATCATTGAAAGTGAAAGGGTTATAAAATCCCAAATTTTAGTCATCCTAAAACGTTACAAAAATGAATCCTCAAGGGTATTATCCTCATGTATACTGACCACACTCTTATAAATTCCTTCCCAATAAAAAAACAATACTGTGTTATCAAATTATCATACCAGAGAAAATAAGAAATTGAAAAGAGAAAAAAATGTAAACACTAAAAAAAATAAATAAATAATAATTTTCACTTTTTTATATGTATTTTTTTCACTTGTTTGTTTTAAAGTTTGTTTTGTTTGAGTAATTATAAACTGTTTGTGTGGGGGTAGGAACACTGCACTATTTAAATTTTGTTTAACAGAGATGATAAAGAAAGCATCTACATTTACATTTTTAAATAAGCAGTTATTTGATTGTAAGCTCCTTGAGGGCATGATCTGATGTCAATGTACAATATATACAAAGCTCTGCATAAATTGATGGCGCTATATAAGTACCTGTAAAAAAAAAAAAAATAAATTTGCTATAAAATTACTATCAATTCAGTTCAGAGTTCTTGAAATTACTGAGCACAACTTCTAATAATGCACCAAATTCGCCACTGACATCAAAGTATATGTTATGAAAATAAATGTTCTAAATACCTGTGCATTTAGGGATGTATAAGGATTCCCTGACAATGACTTGTGCAAAAAATAGAGAATTATTGTATGCTCACCTGTAAAATCCATGACAAGAATTTTATCCAGCATTACATGAGCCAGAAATTTCTCGGCACCATAGAAAATGAATGCACTGCAACTGGCCATGAGGATTTTCCCATTCTGCATGGCTGGAAGAAAGGGAGTGAGCTTTTCAGTTGTTTTGTTTCAGTGATACAATATTTTTAAAGAGCTTTTAGACCTAAAATACAAGCTAACTTTACATATCATTTGTATTATTTAAAACACTCACAATATGTATGTGAAATTACCACAACGGTTTACAATTTAAGACAATCTGGGGGATTCAATAAAGCCTTACCAACAATTTTTTGACAGTAGTTTCCATTAGAACTACCTGCATCCTATTTCGGGAAGGTATTTTCAACAGTTTCAGTATCATAACTGACACATGCGCCAAATTCAGGCAGTTCTAACTACTGCCACTTTAGGAAACTGTCAATATAGCTGCTAACGGTTCTTAAAGAATTATCGCCAGTTCACAGATTAGGAAACTGGTGGTAATTAGGACCAGCCTTGAGCAGGTGTACAGAGGTACAGTATGGATTCTCAGACAGTGCCAGGCTCCAATAGGTACATGAATTGGGCACAAGCAACTAGAATTTCAGTGCAGCAGCCTGACAGGGTTCTAAGGTACCTTCTACATGGGGCAGATTCCACCAGGAGTCCACTTGCTCAGCAGGGAATCTGTCCCCTGATTCCCCCACTATGCAAGAGGATGGTTGGTTTGTGTCCATTCCGCTTATGTAGAGCAGACACAGACACAGCCCGCTGTCATCTAGGGGCAGTTGGATGTAAACAGACCCAACTGCAATCCGAATGGCAGATGGAGAACAGAGATCCCCATCCGTCTGTCTTTTTTAGCAGATCAGATTGGATGTAGGCAGGTGTAAAATGTACACAAGTCTATGGTTTCCCATTTTGCCCAATTACTAAAATTTAAAAGGGAAAATGTAAAGTTGCACACCAGAGCTCAACCATTAAAGTGGTTGTAAAAGCTCAAGGTTTTTTACCTTCATGCATTCTATGCATGAAGGTAAAAAGCCTTCTCTGTGCAGAAGCCCCCCCAGGCCCCCCAATACTCACCTAAGCCCCTCTTGATCCAGCGATGCGCACTGCCATCTCGGCTATCCTGGGATTTCCTCTCCTCATTGGTTGAGACAGCAGTGGGAGCCATTTGCTCCCACTGCTATCAATCACAGCCAGTGAGCCAATGAGAAGAGAGAGGGAGCGGGCTGAGCCGTGGCTCCGGGTGTGAATGGACACATGGAGCAGTAGGTGCCTCCATAGCAAGCTACTTGCTGTGGGGGCATCTGACAGGAGAGAGGCCAGGAGAACCTGCAGGGGGACCCAAGAAGAGGAATATCTGGGCTGCTCTGTGCACACAGCAGGTAAGTATGACATGTTTGTTATTTTTAGAAAAAACAAATGTAAGCCTTTAGAATCGCTTTAAGCCAAGGTACAGGGCACAACCTCTCAGAGAAGAGTTTGAGGGTGGAGTGTCACAGTTGCTTCTGGACAAATCAGCTGTGTGTGGCTTCAGGTTTTTCTCAAGTGTTTGAAAATGCATAAGTGATAGTTCCCACTGGTAACTGGCACCCATGGCTGGAGTGAACACAGCCCAGGATCTGTGAGCAGTACCTTGGATTTGTGAATTTGAGCTGAAATGTGTTTTTTTTTTTGCACAGCACATTTATACAGAACTTTACACCCTAAAATGTAGTTCCTTCCTCTTTAACTGTATTAAAAGGAAATTATATCTCAAAAAGGATGCACAAACCAAACATTAAAATATTTCTAACAAACAGGTACTTGTTTGGCTATGTGTGCATTTATTGATGAAGCTGAAAACGACTTTTGACTTGTACCATTCCAAAACATTTGTTTTCCTAGAAACAGTGGAGGTTTAGAACCTCTGCAAGTTGTTTCCCAACTGGGGAGACTTACCAGCACTTCCTGCCTCAAAGAGTGGTCATCAAGTCAGGAAGAGTAAGGGGAAATTTCACTAACAAGAACATAGAAGGCAACATAAATGCAGTTTTAAATGAGTAGAGAATGCATAAATGCTCTGAAATAATTTGATTCTTGGGAGTTTGGTTATTGAGCCCTGTTGATACACTGTAGTAGCAATGACAAAAGTAAATGCCTGAAAGAAGTTCTACCCTTTCCCTACACTAATCAAAACTAGAAATAAAACAAAATTGACAGGGCAACCACTTTACATTTTTTAATTTCTACTGTGGCTCTCAAAATTGAAATGAGCACGTCTAGCCTTAATGTCACCTTTCATTTCAGTGAAGACTCTACAATATTGACTGTAAAAACATCAATACAACAGTCACCTCAAAACAATTAAAAACTAACAATGAAGCACACTGACTCGCTTTTATTGACGCTAAACAATAATTAATAAGTATCTTACAAAGAGAACACAAACCTGGGCACACGCGTGTGCTGCCGATAATTCCTTCCCAATGAGCTGTAAATTGCTGTCCATACTTTACAAGTACCTCATTTATTCTGTAGGCTGGGCTGAGTGTTTCTGAAAAAGACACAATAACAGAGAATTGAGATTTTTCAGCTCTTGTACAGACCGTTTACTTTGCTTTTTTTTTGCAAGCTTGAGACAATAGGTAACATGTAGACAACGAAGGTCTCCTTGAATTTGGCAACATTGAACTTTAACAAATCCATATAAAATAAATGCAGCATCATCTGTACTGTTTGGAATTACAAAGATAGAATGGTTGCAGAAGGACATTATGGGTAAAGTTATCTTTATGGACACAAATAAATGGCCATGTGTTAGCTGTAGAATAGATCTAGCATACACATTTTGGCATAAAAACACAACTAAGGGAAACTATTTTAAAGTGAACCTATGCTTTGCCCATGCAGGGCTAGGTAGACAACTCAAAAGATATTTTCCTGCTGCCTATACCTTCCTTTCTACTCTGGCCACCTGTTGTGACAATGTTAAATACCTGGTACTTCCATGGATTGGGGGGTTCATGTGACTGCCCTTCCTCTCACGGTGCAGCACTGGGTGCCTAAACAGCCAATTGCCAGGCCCAAACACTGCTGCAGGGCAGAGAGAGAGTTCTTAACTTTGTGTAACCTCCATCCAGATTGACTTTCAGCTTAAAAAAAAGCTGCTTCTTTTCACTCCAGCGAGGTATCAAACAGAAAGTGAATAAATTTCGGCAGGAGAGCAAGGCACCTAATGAGTTTGTTGCTTTGCATGAACTTTATTTGTGAATAATATGTGGAGCAATAGAAAGAAAGAACACCTTTATTACTCTAGTGTTCTAACATCATACATCATTACCTGGTTCTAGTATTTCATTGTAAGATCCACAATATCTGATACATGTTGTTAAGGAAGTAAACCACATTATGATTTCTGTGACAGTCACTCCAAAAGTCAATATCTATTCTATATTTGAAATTGTGGATGCAATCACATGATAGCTATAACTGAATGTTTTTTTTTCATCCTCCTACACCTGCTTCCTTTGGTATTACACAATCTTTGGTTTACATAGCCAGATCTGGAAGTTGGGTTCTGCAGCTTGATCTTCTTGATGTACAGCATCATAATTTACAATGCGTGCTGTTGCTTATACTACAGAATAATGATAAGAGGTGCTTTTATACTTACTCAGAATCCTGTTCTTGGAGTCCATTGAGGGACAAAGGAGGACTGCAACCTTTGGGTATTAATGCTGCATACAGAAGGATTGTTCACTGGCAAACACAAAACCCCTACTACTACCCGCATGCCTCAGTTTTTCTGTTGTGTTGAGAGCATGACTTGTCCCTCAGTGGACTCCAAGAAAAGGATTTTATGGTGAGCATAAAAATGCTATTTCCTTTCTCATCTATTGAGGGACACAGGAAGATTGTAACTTTCAGGATGTCAAACAACAGTCGAAGGGGTGGTCAACAGCAAACAAACTCTAGCATGCCCACTAAAAAAACAAAAGAAATCTGGAGACTGTCTGCAGCTCAAAGAGCTGCCTGAAGGACCTTGCACCTGAAGATGGTATCAAAAGGGGACTGAACATCCACCTAGATAACATTAACAAAGTGTAAACAGAAGGTCAGGTGGTTGCCTTGCAAATCTGGGAATAATATCCTGATGCAAAAAAGCTCAAGAAAGCAACTCACAAATCCAGTAGAGTATGTCTTGACAGGAAAAGGTGGAACCTGATCCTTGAGACCATAAGCTTTGATAACGGTCTGTGTGAGCCACCAAGAAATGGTGGAAAAAGAGGCTGCTGCACTTTTATGGGGATAATCCAGAATGACAAAGACAAAGTCAGTCTTTCTGAAGGAAACAGTGTCTGAGAGATAAACTCTCACATTTCGAATTGCACAAAGGAAATGGAAAAAAATATCCTTCTGATGAATTGGAGCTGGACAGAGGTACAGAAAATCAATTGATTGAGGTGACAGACCAAAAATGCCTTAGAAAGGAAGAAAGTCATGGGCCTCAACATCACCATGTCCTTCTGCAAGATCAGAAAGGGTTCTTTAAAAAAATCTGACTACAAGAAACACCACCTTATAGATAAAAGTGGACCTAATGGGTTTAAAGGGTAGTACTGGAGGTGAGATAACGCTGTCCCTCAGAATCTGGGTTTCAACAGCAATACTGTTAAGCCAGAGACATTGAAGCAGGATGGCAAATCAGTGAGAAGAGGAGGAGCTTATGAAGCATTAACTAGCGTCTTATCAGGTTAGAGTACAACATTCGCCTGGGCCATTACAGAGCTATATAGATCACTGGAACGCCTTCCATCTCGATCCTGCAAAGCAGATGAGGAAAGAGTTGTAGGGGAGGGAAGGCATCGATCATGTGTATTGATCCCATGATGCCACCAAAGTGTTTTCACTGCTTCCACTACAGGATCCCTGAACCTGAAGAAAAACTTACCCAGTTTGTTGTTTGGATGGGGATTGCAGACTCACAGCTGCAAGCTACGGCTAACCTGGTAAAAAAAAACTAAAAGCACTTAAGACAAGGATCTGGGAAGGCAAGAAATGATGGACTCATAGGAAAGACAGGAGTGCTGGGGTATCTTGCAGTACTGAGATGAAGTAAGAGGAGAGCAAGAGTACTAGCAGAAGTAAATTGCAGCATAGGGGTGCTAGACTCATAGGAATGGTGGGAGTATCTTGTGGCACTAGGGTGCTGGACTCTGGAGACACTGAGATCACTGGTCACAAAGTAGGAAGCAAACTAGGAATTGACAGAGTCACAGGGATCACCAGAAGCTGGCTGGAGTGCACAGGGACATAGAGCACAAAGCAGACTAGTGGTGCACGGGGAGGCACGGAAGCAGACTGCAGACTTGGAGTGTATAGGTGCAGGCAATGAATGGCAAGCTGGGGTATACAGGGAATCATGGAAGTGCAGGAAGGCAGGAAGCTAACTGAAGTACACTAGGCACAGGTGCCTTGAAACACTCAGAGGATATGATAGGTGCTGGGATTCAAGTTGCAGACAGGAACACATAGAGTCACTGAAAATAAACTGAAAGATACTGAGAACACTAGAAGTACAGAGATCACATTGGAAAGCACTGGGGACACTAGCAAAGTCACTGGGAACATCGGGTCCAACTAACCTGTAGGAAGCACTAAGAAACCTGGAATTTCAAGGTCACTTGGAAAACACATAGACGCCGGTACACAAAAAAAACTTGGAATCACATGGATGAAATCTTCGGATCACTCAGAATAACTCAGGAAGTTGGGAACATGAGAAAACATGGAATCACACAGAAACACTGGAGAGTTTATTTACTAAAGCCGGAGAGTGCAAAATCAGGATCACTTCTGCATAGAAAGCAATCAGCTTCCAGGTTTTACTGCCACAACTTAATTGAATAAGCTGAGATTAGAAGCGGATTGGTTTCTATGCAGAAGTGAGCCTGATTTTTCACTTTCCAGCTTTAGTAAATAAACCCCTGGGAGTCTAGGAACACTGGCTAATGCTCAGGCAATGTTTTTAGCTGACTGAATCAACAGCAAGTGAATTACCAGTTTTAAAAACATATCTTGTGAAATAACAGGTAACAGCAGAACCTTGCATGTTAAAGAATATGTAAACTCAATATTTCATATTCCTGATAAATGCCTGCTGTACCATGTACTTGTATGAAAAAGTATTGTGTTCTCTTTGTATTGCTCCCTTTGTGTGAAATCCTTGGTGTTCCTGTCAGTCACTCTGGTTTCCTATTAAAAACTGACCACACTAAGCAGGAGAGCACAGTGTTGTCAGTATTCTGGTTGTGCTGGAACTCAGAGCTGCTCTTCTCCAATGATTAGACATTCACATATACTGTAAAGCTATGCACTACATGTACCAGCATGTCTGATGGTCAGTGAGAATATTAAGGGACATGTTGAAAAATTTTCCTCAGTTAGTGACTCCAGCCAATCAGTGTCGTGGATGGAGAAATCAGTTTTTTTTTTTCTAGCCTGCTGAAAAGAAACTAAGGCTGGGTTCAGATCTCTGCTAATGGGGAACGTGTGTAAAAAAGTGTGATGTTCCTGACTCACAGAAACGTGCTGCATTTCAGCAGACATGTGGGGGTGCCATTCATTCTTTACCACACATTGGCAGCCACATTTGCTAAAGCGTAGGTTGCTGCAGCACTATGTAATTCAGTGTGGCGTTATTTAAAAAGGGTCAGGGACTTCTTTCCCCCTGTTTCTTATGGGTAGGGCAGCCCACTGAAATGTATGGACTACCATAACCATTACATGCATGCTCAAACATGCCACACATATTCGAACAGCACCTAACAGTGTATGGCCAACTTTAGAGAGTTTACACTTTATTTAGTGTTTGGCAATTCAAGGTCACAACTCAAAAAGGGTGAAGAACAGGACCTACTAGTGAGACCAGTGTTCTAGAGAGGGCCAAAAACCACTTATTAGTGAAATGCTTAACAAATCCAAGCAAAAAAAAAGTTTTCTTTCGCGGTGGGGCTACTTGTTTTTGTCTAGGGACTTGGAGAAGCGAGATACAGTTGTGTTCAAAATAATAGCAGTGTGTTGAAAAAAGTGAATAAAGCTCAAAATCCTTCTAATAGCTTTTATTTCCATACACACAAATGCATTGGGAACACTACACATTCTATTCCAAATCAAAACATGAAGAAAAAGATATCAAATTTGTGTTCCTCTAAAAAAATTTAGGAAAAGTGTATATTAGACTGTTCAAAAAATATAGCAGTGTTTGTATTCTTCTTTACAAACTCAAACATTCACTATATAAACTGAAAAATGTTTGAAGATTTTGCTTTCCTTTGAATCACTTAATGAATATTTAGTTGTATAAGCACTGTTTCTGAGAACTGCTGTACATCTGTGTTGCATGGAGTCAACCAACTTCTGGCACCTGTGAACAGGTATTCCAGCCCAGGATGATTGGACTATATTCCACAGTTCTTCTCTATTTCTTGGTTTTGCCTCAGAAACTGCATTTTTGATGTCACCCCACAAGTTTTCTATTGGATTAAGATCCGGGGATTGGGCTGGCCACTACATAACGTCAATCATGTTGGTCTGGAACCAAGATGTTGCACGTTTACAGGTGTGTTTGGGGTCATTGTCTTGTTGGAACACCCATTTCAAGGGCATTTCCTCTTCAGCATAAGGCAGCATGACCTCTTCAAGTATTCTGATGTATTCAAACTGATCCATGATCCCTGGTATGCGATAAATAGGCCCAACACCGTAGTATGAGAAACATCCCCATATCATGATGCTTGCGCAACCATGCTTCACTGTCTTCACAGTGTACTGTGGCTTGAATTCAGTGTTTGGGGGTCGTCTGACAAACTGTCTCCGCCCACTAGACCCAAAAAGAACAATCTTACTTTCATCAGTCCACAAAATGTTGCGCCATTTCTCTCTAGGCCAGTCAATGTGTTCTTTGGCAAATTGTAACCTCTTCAGCACGTCTTTTTTTCAACAGTGGGACTTTGCGGGGGCTTCTTGCAGATAGCTTGGCTTCACATAGGTGTCTTCTAATTGTAACAGTACTCACAGGTAACTTTAGACCTTCTTTGATCTTCCTGGAGCTGATTGTTGGCTGAGTCCTTGCCATTTTGGCTATTCTTCTATCCAGTTGAATGGTAGTTTTTCACTTTCTTACACGTCTTTCAGTTTTGGTTGCCATTTTAAAGCATTTGCGATCATTTTAGCTGAGCAGTCTATCATTTTCTGCACTTCTTTATATGTTTTCCCCTCTCCAATCAACTTTTTAATCAAGGTACACTGTTCTTCTGAACAATGTCTGTAACGACCCATTTTCCTCAGAATTTCAGAGAGAAATGCACTGTAACCAGCATGTACAACATTTGCTGCCTTCCTTCCTTAAATAGGGGTAATAATTGCCACCTGTTTTTCAAAGAATGAATGACCTCACTAATAGAACTCCACACTGCTATTATTTTGAACATGCCCCTTTCAATTAGTGACTCAATTACACAGACTCAGCAGCATGCATGTCATGACTGTTGGGTCTGTTGGATTTCTATTACTCTACTACACCTGCTAGTAAATTATTTCTACCAAAAACAGTGATTGATCAGGTTAGTGGTGTCTGACTGCTATTATTTTGAATACAGCTGTAAATGTACAGTCCCTCCCTGCACAATACCGGTCCCTGCTGCTCCTGCAGTCTAGCAGTGCTGTACGGTGGACTGTTCCTGATGTCATCAAGGACGTCAGGAACATTCCACCACTGGATTGTGGGGGAGTGCTAATTGCCGCTGGATCGGAGGATTAGGTGAGTAAAAGATTTCTGGTTGCGCCTTGACAAAATGAGCAGTTACCTCATACAGTGCGGGCATGGGAATCCTTTTTTTATTAGCCCAGTGTTGGGCTTTAAAGACAGGTGCATCTTCTACCAGGATGGTGGTCACTTTGTTGAGATGTTACACTGCCAGATCCACAGAGGGAGCAGATCACTTTTTATCAAAGTTCTCTTCAAATAGCTACAAGGCTAAGGCATGGAGGGGACAGACATCATGTCCGGGTGTTTCCTATCTCCATTAGGGTACGTATGGAACATTGAGTGCACCAGAAAGATCTTGGTAGTCTTAGTAGTTTGTTAAGGACCCCAGACTTGGCACAGTGCTGGTGAAAGCAATAACTGATCCTCTAGATTAAAGATTAAGTTAACCTTTTGAAAAATAATAATAATAAATGCACATTTTTTTGCAGTTAAAAAAAATTTGCATTTTTTTTTTCTTAACAGCCTGCAGAAAATTGCATCAGTAGATCGTGATTGCAATGTCAGGCTCCTGCACACACTGTCTAGAATTCTCTGCCTGTACCTCTTTACAGGCAGACAGTTCTTGAGCTGTAGGCAGTGTGATTTAACTATGGGTGCTGATCATCGCACCTGCAGTTCATTCAAACTACAAGTCTGTCAGGGTGAAGAGCCCCACACAGTTGTTCAGATTTCAAAATGTGACAGCGGATGAAGGGGGAAGAACCTCTGCCCACTGTCACTCACAGTGAGGGATGGGGGAGTAAGCGTTTGCTGCTCGGTAACATGTTACACTGTAGTTATGGATGTAACATGTTACTAAAAGTGAACGTAGCCTTCAAACGTGGTGTGCACTGCACCAATAAGAGCCAAAACAGTCTAGTTTTGGAGTAGTAGCAGAACACTGAGACTCCTCAGAGGCAAGTTCATCTGGTAGGGATTGAAGAGACTTTGGAGAGAGTTGAAGAAAAAGTAGTACTGGTAAAACATAGGGTAATCTTTTCTCAGCAAAGCTAATGAAAAGACATCTATCGCCATAAGACACTAGCAAAAAACTGAGACATTCTGGTAGTAGGAGGTGTTATCCTGGGTTAGTTTACAGGCGTATTGTTTTCCCAGTGACGATCCTCCTGTAGGCAGCAGCATAACTCAAAGGTTACAGTTTTCCTTTGTCCCTCAATGGACAAGAAACAAATTATTCCTTCTTTTGTTTTAAACATTCTTCAAAAGCTGACATAGATAAAAATCACCAAGATTACCGTCATTGACTTGGAACACGTATGCAGCAAGTGGAGTGAAAGCAAAGTAAAAACTCCTAAAGTATTGAATCTATTGCAGCAGCATGACCACTCAGACAGCATGCATTTTCTAAATAGAGGTCAGTAATGGTGGCCTACATATTTTTTTCAGTACAGGATTCCTTTTAAACTGATCTCTGGGCTAATACCCCCCCCCCCCCCCCCCCCAATTCATCACCCTCTCCCCCACCCCCATCTTAGCTAGAAACTATTTAAGATTAAAAAAGAAAAACATATCTAAATGGCCCGAATACTCACCAAAATCTGTGGTCATGTGACACCCCAAGTCTTCTATCTCATCACCTGTAGAGCTGAAGGGTCTTTCTTCACATGCCTATGTGGATGGATGGGATGTACTGTTTGAGAATGGGCAATTTGACCAGAGATAAGTGCTACGCTTTCATATATATGACACACATTCACACTGTGTCAGTCCTGCCACTAAAAATAATATGCTGCTTCTTAGCCAAGTTTACAAAGGAGGATCTTGTAAAGACTGTCTCCAAAACCTACTGTTAGGAAGTGGTAGCCAGGGCTTCAATAATGCATGAAAGATAGCCCTGTCATTTCCAATTTCTCAAGTATCATACACTTTGACAATTTACCTTTACTTTTTTTTAGATCCTAAATTATATGTATAAGGCTTAATACGCGCAGGTAACCATAATTTACGATACAGCCTTAGCATAAAACCAATTCAGTCATGTTACTACACTGAAACTCTTCGCTATTTAACATTTCAAGTATGAAAGTGCAAATTTCATATGAAAGAGCTTCTTTAAGGATACACTTGAATCGGTGGGTTTCGACTGGCATGCAGTTAGCTGGCAGATCTCGATTGATGGGTATCTAAAAATAAAACATTTTATGAAATATAGGATGGTTAAAAATAAAAAGCAAACACTTCTACAGTATATTAAACACTGCTAAACATGTGCTAGGTTGATATAAATGTACTGTTTTAAGGGAACAGCATTGGATCAATGATCAGCCATGACCAAGGACCAGGTCTAGATCTAAAAGCATTAGACAGGATTGTCAACTGTGAAGTTAATTATACATTATACAGATCTCCTGGAGCACTGAGGAGTGGCTGGCTGTCCCATTATATGTTGTGCTGGATGTTTGAAGGAGTGCACTACCATTAACCATCCTCAGTATGCCCTGAACTGAAGCTAGCTTGCTGGAAAGTAGAGTGGGATCTTTGAGCTCTCTGTACATTCATTCCCTTGTCTTCCAACAGTTGCCAAGATATTTATGATCTTTACTTGCACCAGTACCAGGATCGGTTGGCACTGTCAACTTGGCTGATGACTCCTCACTATTTGATTGGAGAGGTGGGGACAGGGAGTGGGGGGTTATAATACCTTATTTAACTAGCACATCCCAGTACTACAAACCTTTTTGGTAAACATTAGGGCCCTCATTTGTTTGAAATGCCTGGAAGACTAAATCTGACCAAAGAAATACAATATAACCCATGAAAAATCAGTAGCGGATGCCACTGCTTGTGGGTTCTCAAACGTCTGCCCTACAATAAAACTTTGGGACCTACAAACAAGAAGCCACATGCAGAGTTCCTAAACAGAGTATGGAGTTCCATATTATCTAGACGTTTACACAGCTCAAAGATGTACTGTATGTCAGTCTAAAGTGAAATAGCATTTCAGATATACACTACATTTTATTCAAAGCATGCAAGAAAAAAAAAAAAGGCTGAAGACCTGGCACATGAAGAACCATACTGCAATCCAATAATGAGTGAGCAGCAGCAGCAAAGGTATACTCCAGTTAAAATGCAAAATTTAGCATTGATAGGTTTACAACGTGCAGAGTTGAACTACTTGCCACAGGTTGTTTTTTATTAGCTACTAGCTTCAGAGTTCCAGGCCACTTCATCAATAAGAATCACTTTAATCAGTGTAAACTGTCCCAAAATCACAAATGGAGTGCACTGCCTTTTTGCTTTAGCATTACTTTATATAAAAAAAAATCTAATAAAAAAAATGACAGACAAGTAATCTGTAGAGAAAAATATAATCACATCCCATGGACAGGACTACCCTACGTTACTGATGAGTTTTGAGGGGCAAGTCCTCTTCTTTAGAGCTCTGAGGAAGTGGGCTTGTCCCTCAAAATGCATCAGGTAACATGGATCCACGATAATGTTTTGAGGCCCCTGCTCAGGCTGTCAAGGTCCGATTAATTGGATGCTGCTGGCTAATGAGGGTGCAGGACGGGGAAAGGTTTGTAAAACCCAAAGTGCATTGTAGAAATAGGAAGAGATAGCCCACCCACTGTACACCTTGCCCAGGCCAAGTGGTTAGCAGGTAAAAGCAGCCTCATCTTGATTCATCCATGCCATGCCCCCCCAACATGTCTCTCACTGCCCCCGGAGCTTAATCATGGAGGTGAGCGGGGTGAAACATGTGGGGGGCATGGCTTAGATAAATCGAGCTGATGCTGCTTTTACCTGCTAACCACTTGGGCTGGACAAGGTGTGTGGTAGTCTGGCTAGCTCTTCCTATTTCTACAGGTAACATGGTTCCACTACAATTTGCTTAAGGAGTACTTCCAATGATCATTTTGAAGATAGTGATGTGAGGAAATCCTGTCTCTGGGATGTGATGGATGCTTACATGTCTGTCATTTTAACAGTCGTGTATTTTATTGGATTTGTTTTTTTAATATATTTGTGCCAAACGTTATGCAGGATGGGGGCCAGTGTGTTTTATAATTTTGCACCTGACCTATATTGTTAATACTCATGTGCTGGCATTGTGTTTGTTTCATATCAGTGCATTTTGCATCTCTAAAAACACCAACTGCTGAGCTATGTGAATATGCAGACCTGATTTTTTCAATCTCACAATCAGTAAGCTCCTTACCATTTATTACGGTGAGTAGTAAAGGATACTCTACAACACAAAGTCTGGTGACCAGAAACTACTACCCAAACTACCCAAAAGCACATGGGAGGATCTAACGAATCAAGGGAGCAAAAGGTAATGCAACATATGTCTATTTACTCTGTCCCTTTTATAAATTCCCCTGTGTAAGTGATTAAGGTTTTTGTGATGAAGTTAACATGAAAGTTCAAGAACAAAGAAGTCAAATCCTCCTCCAATCAAAATATTATACCAGAATCGAACATACTCACAGTCTTTATATTTTTTTTCTGTTTGGATTCTTTTGCACTCTTCACCTCTCGCTTTAATTCTCCTTCTTCTGTAAGGTAAAGTACACAAAGAACAACTCAGAAATGCATTGTTTCTTGTCAAAACATCAGCTATAATTATTAATTGATAAGGACCACAGCGCAGATAATGGCAACAAAGATTTTGTTGCCAAGCATGATAAAAAAATAAAATCATTGATTTGGGTCACTGCTGTGGTTTCACGAAGAATTGTACAGTAGGAAAACACTCTGATGTATCCATACAAACCAACAGGTGGATCAATCTAGATTGATAATGATTTGTTAGGGCAAAACTATAAAAACTGACTTCATACACAAACTCTCAGAGAAAAGGGAGCTGCTCACCATTTAAAAGCACTGGTTTCAGTTTACTAAACCTCCCATCGTACAGACTATACCACCTGGCATATAGAAGCCCTAATGAGTAAGCTTCATTTGGACTGAAACACATTAGGCTTCTATATACCAGGTAGTATAGTTTATACAATGGAGGGTTTCATAAACTGAAACATGGTTTTTAAATTGTTGGTGTGTGTAGCTTGTGGAGTAGCCAGCGACCACTGGGAGCTGGCTGCCTGTGTTGGAGGATTAATAAGAAATAGTGCCTGCAGTGGGTCATTACATCTCGTCCCTTAATATCAATACTGAAATGTATGAGCCAAAGACAAATCTCCTCTCTATTGTGACAAGTAACCTATACAATTTTCTAATTGTCATGTTGACCTTGTACTTTTAGTATTTTAACACTGATCTGCATATTAGGAGTCTGACTTTGCTCCGAATCTGCTTGCCACATACATGTTCTACATCAAAGTACAGAAGCCAGAGGATCAGCTTGGCAACTGAAAAACTAGAATTTTCAGAAAAAAATCAACAAATATTGCTTCCATATTTCTTTCAGGGCAGGTTTTATCCAGGACACAAGTGTGCATTCCAGTGCTCACTACATGGCATTTCTCAAGGTGGGTTTTCTAATAGTGCCACTAGCACATCACGCCTGCAAATCAGAGTTGGTATGACCACATATAAAGCATGTGTCAGTGTGACAATGCAGGAGACAGGGACATAGTGCTGTCACCCTATAAAAGGAGGACCATAAATCTTCATGAATGGAGCACCATATATTATTTAAAAAAGCTTGAAAATGACCTTTGAAACTCTACTAATATGCTAAGGATTACATGAGATTTTAGTGACAGTGTTTGTATCTACAGTTGTGTCCAAAAATTATTCAACCCTATGCTGTAAAGGGGTTTAGGGACTATAGTGTACATTTGGAATTGTATTCAGAATAATCCTACAAGGACGTTGTAACTACCCAAATGCAACTAAAATGACATCAATTGTTTATGTAATACAGTAGTAAATGGTTCTTATGTGGTTTCTTCATTGCCACAATTATTCAACCCCTTAAAGACTACCACTCTGAAGAACAGAGTTCATACAGTGCTTTCCATCAGGTATTGAAAACAGGTGTGGATGTCACCGAGCAGCAATCAAGCATAATAAGCACCAATTAGGCAGCTTTAAAATGACTGTGATACTCAGCTCCTTCTAGACATTTACTGGTGTGGTTACAAACATGGTGAAGGCAAGAGAATGGTCCAGGAAGACAAGAAAGGTGATTTCTCTTCACAGGAAGGGCAATGGCTATAAGAAGATTGCAAAGATGTTAAACATACCAAGAGACACCTTAGGAAGCATCATTCGCAAATTCAAGGCAAAGGGCACTGTTGAAACGCTACCTGGTCGTGGCAGAAAGAAGATGCTGACTTCGACTGCTGTGCGCTACCTGAAGCGTAGAGTGGAGAGAAGTCCCCGTGTGACTGCTGAGGAACTGAGAAAAGATTTGTCAGATGTGGGTACAGAAGTTTCAGCCCAGACAATAAGACGCACACTGCGTAATGAGGCCTCCGTGCCAGAACTCCCAGGCGTACCCCCTTGCTGTCTCCAAAGAATAAGAAGAGTCGACTGCAGTATGCCAAAAGCCATGTGGACAAACCACAAAAGTTGTGGGATAGTGTTCTGTGGACTGATGAAACAAAATTAGAACTGTTTGGGCCCATGGATCAACGCTATGTTTGGAGGAGGAAGAACAAGGCCTATGATGAAAAGAACACCTTGCCTACTGTGAAGCATGGTGGAGGGTCAATCATGCTTTGGGGCTGTTTTGCTTCTGCAGGTACAGGGAAGCTTCAGCGTGTGCAAGGTACCATGAATTCTCTTCAGTACCAGGAGATATTGGATGGAAACGTGATGCAGTCCGTCACACACCTGAGGCTTGGGAGACGTTGGACCTTTCAACAGGACAATGATCCCAAGCATACCTCCAAGTCCACTAGAGCATGGTTGCAGAGGAAAGGCTGGAACATTTTGGAGTGGCCATCGCAGTCACCAGACTTAAATCCGATTGAGAACCTCTGGTGGGACTTAAAGAAAGCAGTTGCAGTGCGCAAGCCTAAGAATGTGACTGAACTGGAGGCCTTTGCCCATGAAGAATGGGCGAAGATACCCGTAGATCGCTGCAAGACACTTGTGTCAAGCTATGCTTCACGTTTAAAAGCTGTTATAACTGTAAAAGGATGCTGTACTAAAGTACTAAGATTGAATGTCACTTGGGGGTTGAATAAAACTGATAATGCTGTGAGCACAGAAAAGACATTTGTGGTTATTTCATTATAACTGTTATGTTATATTTGTCTGACCTACAAGTGCCTCTTTAATGTAAATGTAAGCAAGATGACTGAATGATCAAAAGCAATGTCAAACTGGCCAAAACACTCAATTTCAGTGGGGGGTTGAATAATTTTGGACACAACTGTACTTTAAACTGACCAAGTCTTATCAAGAAGTGGATAGTGTAATTTCTTCATGGAGTAAAAGGTGCTGCATGTCCCCTGTGAACTGCATATGAAACTAAATTAATAGCAAGCTTTAGAGTTAAAATATTCATTTTCTGAGTTATAAACACACTCCAGTATTATAGAAAAACCTCTTGAAGCAAGCCAGCCTTAGTGAAATATAATTATTATTCTGTATTTTTTGTGTTCACTTAACAATCTTGTTGTTTTCCATCCAGTGCTGACAGCATGTGCGGTAATTATTTTAACCTTAGAGAAATATACAAAATTTTAAATAACTTACCCATCTGTAGGAAGATAAACATACAACACAATGTAGGTAGAAAGTTAAATGCTTCTAAATTTGTACATTTTCCCTTGACAAAAAAAAACAAACAAGACAAAAACGTGTCTCTCTCTCTATCTCTCTCTCTCTATATATATATATATAGTATATGTATATACATACACACACACACAGTATATCCCAAGGCAGCTGCTACACTGGCTTGGTGGAACACTGGTCTGGTGCACTCACACAGCATATATTATCCAGATGTGTTGGATACCAGTCATACAACCCAGATGTGTTGGAGATCAATCCTACATAATCCAGATGTGTTGGATACCAATCCTACATAATCCAGATGTGTTGGATACCAATCCTACATAATCCAGATGTGTTGGATACCAGTTGTACATATTCCAGATGTGCTGGGCTTGAAACAGGAACTACACTCCCTCGGCCTCAGAGATTCTGCTCTCTCCTGGCTCTCATCCTACCTGTCACAACGCTCTTTCAGCGTTACCTATAATGCTACCCACCTCCCCCTCTCTGTTGGGGTCCCTCAAGGCTCTGTCCTTGGGCCCCTTCTCTTCTCCATTTACACCTCCTCCCTTGGCCAACTCATACACTCTCACGGCTTCAACTACCACCTCTATGCCGACGACACACAAATCTATCTCTCAACCCCCCACCTCACCCCCTCGGTCTCTGCCCGAATCACACACCTACTGAGCGACATATCAGATTGGATGTCGCTCACTTCCTTAAACTGAACCTCTCCAAAACCGAGTTTCTTGTCTTCCCCCCAGCCCGGACCCCACCCCCCATTGACTTCTCCATCACATCCAACAACGCCAATATCAAACCCGCTCTGCAGGCCAGAGTACTTGGTGTCATTCTGGACTCCAACCTATCCTTCCAGCATCAAGTCCAATCTTTAACAAACTCGTGCAGACTCCACCTCCGCAACATCGCCAAAATACGCGCGTTCCTAACCCCAGAAACCACTAAACAGCTCATCCACTCCCTCATCATATCACGACTCGACTACTGCAACTCCCTCCTCACTGGCCTGCCTCGCCGCTGGCTATCCCCGCTTCAGTCGATCCTGAATACGGCTGCCAGACTCATTCACCTTTCCAACCGCTCCGTTTCCGCCACCCCCCTCTGCCAATCCCTCCACTGGCTTCAGATTGCGCAACGGATCAAATTCAAAATCCTAACATTGACGTACAAAGCCGTCCACCATACTGCCCCGAACTACATCACTGACCTAATATCTAAGTACCGCCCAGCATGCACACTCCGCTCCTCACAAGACCTCCTTCTCTCTAGTTCCCTGGTCTCCTCCTCCCATGCCCGCCTCCAGGACTTCTCCAGGGTGTCACCCATCCTCTGGAACTCCCTGCCCCAACCCATCAGATTATCACCTACTCTCCTCTCCTTCAGGCGCACCCTGAAAAAACCCATCTCTTCAGGGAAGCCTACCCTACCCCCTGCTAACTTGACCGACCTCCTCCACTCTTCCTACCACTCCATCCCCCACAGCTATCTCCTCCTGTACCACGATCCCCTCCCTCCTAGATTGTAAGCTCCAAAGAGCAGGGCCCTCAATCCCCTCATGTTTTGCATTGTATTGGTATTGTTCTGTCACATGTTCTGTCCCCCTTTGTAATGTACAGTGCTGAGCGAACTATTGGCGCTTTATAAATACTGTATAATAATAATAATAGTGCAAATCCCTGCACTCTCCCAGATCTGTGAATGAATGAACTACAAGTCCCATCTGGCACCACGGCTGATGGCTTGTAGTTCTCAATGAACTCCAAGGGCACAGATGAGCACCGTCGTAGTTCATTACTCTTCCTGCATTTCAGTAACTGTCTGCCCATACGGAAGGTTTGCAGGAGCCTGACATTGCACCAGCAATCTGCTGATCGGGGGTGCAATGCTTTGCAGGCTCCTAAAAAAAAAAAGAAATATTGAATGCACATTTTTTTAAAGTGAACTTAGCCTTTAACGTAAATCCATCATGGGGAACTTTACCTACTAAAAAAGGTTATACTACCCATTTTGTAGCATATAAAAGGAAAACACTGTTTTCTATGTATGTTGACTTCTGATTTGATGATATTCCTGTGTAAGGATGAACACCGCTTTCAGCATTGCATTGGGGTTGGTTTACTAAAACTAGTGCACACAGAATCTGGTGCAGCTATGCATAGTAACACTTTATTCATTACTACACCAGATTCGGTGTGCTCCAGTTTTAACAAATCTCCCAATGGGACTGAGATACTGTTCTAAACACAGACAGACTGTTATCATTAATGACCATCATTATGACATACACATTACCTGTCTGCTCTGTATGAATCCGGTTATACAGTAATTGAAGAGAAAAGTCTCTAGACACAGAGTTCCCACTATCATCCTTGAAAACTGCCAGCGCTTCCAGGGGCATCTGCTGAAGAAATCTGTCAGCCAATAATATTATGTAATCTCCCACTTCTACTGATGCACCTGCAGGAAATGATATTATTGCATAAAACACAAGTCAGAATACACACAAATTCCCAAGAGAATAAACACATGACATACTGTAAGGCATGTCCAAAACATACGAAAACAGCCATGTTCTGGGTTCAACAAATATCCATCACTTGACATACATAATTGTATAGCCTAAATACTCAGTCCAAACAAACTGCAGTTTTTGTGATGTACAGTAGATGACAGGAAAGTTTTATTCCTTAAAATGGTTCTAAAGTCTTACGTTTTTTTTTTTACCTTAATGTATTCTATGCATTAAGGTAAAAAATGTTCTGTGCTGCAGGATCCTCCAGTCCCCCCTCATGACGGCTTGACACTGAAACATGTAAGGCGTGGTTAGGATTGTGACGTCATCCCGCACAATCTGCTAGCTCGCGGCTGGATTATACCGCCAGGGTATACAACGCAATTTTGACTGCATGTTTGAACCTTAGTGTCGGGAGGACACATATACATTGTAAGTGCAACTCTTTCGCATTGTCAATAAAATATTTTATGGTTTTACATTACGAGTACCTCTCTTCTCTCCTTTTTCTTACCTGAGCCCTATTCGATCCAGCAATGTGAACGAGAGTAACAGCCATCGCTGCTGTCTCTTTCCTGACTGGGCAGATTGATAGTAGTTGGAGCCCGCAAGGGTGCCCCCATGGAAAGCAGCTTTCCATGGTGTCACTCGATGAACAGAGCAGGTAAGTATACCATGTTTGTTACGTTAATTTAAAATTTTTTTTAACATTTTATGTTACTTTAAAGATAATTTCTAGGCAGATAAAAGAAAGAAATAAACAACTCATACAGCTATGTCTCAATATAAAATAATTAAAAGCATTCCTAAGAGCAATTAGTTAAAGTACCTAAATTTGATTTATTTATGCAATACTCTGTACAGCAAAGCTCAGAATGGGAAAGCAGCACGAGGGGCCTGTCAATTATGCTGCAGTGCTAATGTGCTAAAAAGGAACCTGTTGACATTAGGAGAGAGCAGAGTGACAAACGGAAGAGCTTATCAGTCTGCTGGTTTTCCTTCATTAATCAATCACGGGCTGGGATCATGCTAATTGTATTGCTTAAGAGAAGTATAGGCTGTAGAAAAAAAAAAAATTATACTCACCTAGGTGGATGCAGCATCAATCTGATGCTGCATCTGTCCCCGACCGACCCTGCAGTGAGAACTGGGCAATCAAACACCACGACTGTCAGGCCTCATTCAGACCATACATGCAGAAAAACTGATGGAAACTGATGCGCAGATTTCACTTGCAGAGACATCAGTTTTCATGCATGCTTTGATAAGTTTTATACACATTGCAGATTCCTGCGCAGAAAAAATCTGCACATGATACCAGTGTTGTGGTGTGGACAGGGCACAGAGAGAACTATTGATTTTGTTGTGCCCTTGCAGAACACGTGCAGAAAAACCAACGTCTCTGCATCATGGTGTGAACGGGCCCCCAGTCACTGGCTCTCTCTGCTCTGCCCCCTGCTCACTGGAGTGCTGGGCTGTGGAGGGGTCAGGACAGGCTGACTCAAGCTCTCAGTAGCTCATTGAGAGACTGAGCCAATGCTGGTCCAGGTATCTGAGTGGATCCCCATATAGTCAGGATATTTTCAGAGCCTGGACTGGCTCTGTGATATCAGTGGACACTGGGCTTCAGCAAGCTGTTTGCTGAAAATGGATTACAGGAGTGCAGAACTAACAGTACTCCTGTTCTCCATAGAAGTACAGCCAAAATAGCTTTCACTATACAGTACTACTCCATTAAACAAGAACTTCAACTATTTTTTCAAATGCTGTAGCTGCTGATGTTTAAAAACCAGGTACTTATCAGGGCCTGGAGTGCAGAGCTGTCTTCCTGCAACTGGTTCATCTTAACAACGCAGGTCTCCAGCACTGCCATCTTGGATATGGGAGCCAGCTGTGGCTTCCTGAGGAATCACAGCTGGCTCCTCACTCTGCATGTGCTAGCTCGCGAGGCGCTCTGTGAATGGTCCTGCAAGCTCCTGAGACATGTGACGTGTCCCAGAAGACTGCAGGAGGGAAGGGGATTTGGTAAGTAGTGTCATCCTCGCCTAGGCAGGAACTGCAGAAGTGGGCATGGGTGTCAATAAGAACTGATACTTGCCTTCTCTACAAAAAAAACCTGTAATCCAGCTACAGGCTAGACGGAGAGAAAACAAGAGGTACTTCACTTTTTGAGTGAAGTTCTACTTTAACTGCAGTACATAAAAGTCATGTCTCCGGGGTGGCTGTCTGCCTGCCTTTTAGATTTGTGTACTTTTCAATAACAAAATGGAGAAAAATACTGTATGTATGCTTTTGGAGGTAAAACAACTGAGCAGCACTGCTCCCCTTGAACTGACATATGCCAAAATTACTTTACCTTCAGTTTACGAAGGTTTTCTGGCTCCAGGGTACACAGAAGTAGTGACACTGGTCAAATACTCTCTTTCCTCCAGTTAATATATTAGTATACCAGTGACTCCATTTTTAACTTTGAGTCATGCAAAGTTACTGCTTAACTACCTATTTTTTTCCAGAACACAGGAAAAGGACTGTGATAACCAAGCACCTCTGAAGCACTCTTCCCAATTTCTAACTTAGAAAATACTTGGTAATAGCACCAAGCCAAAGATTGCTTGAGCTCCAAGCAACCCTGATTGCTGGTACATACTTGATGCTGGCTTCTCCTCCTTCTCTCTTGACTTTGCTCGTACTGACTCGCTGGATGAAAGTGGTGTAGATGGCTGTCTGCAAATCAGAAATAAACACAAAATCACCTAAGGAACAGCAATATCAAAATAGTGTTTATATCATTCACTTTTTTCCTGTCTGATCAGGACATTTCTCAAAAACAAATGTGCATCTTGTGTCATTTATTTACTCGAAGCAAATGTCTCTGTTCACATTCATGTTAAAAAAAGCCAGTGACTGGTATGTACAGTACTTAGCAAGCAGTCCCTGGTTGGTTAGAAACAGTTCACTGAAGGCGATTTTTAATTGCAAAATTGCTTAGGTTGGCAATAAATAGGCAGATGTCTTCCAAAGAAAAATGGCTGGGGAAATATCTGCCCAACATGTGCTGCATATAAAATAATTTTTGTACTTTTTATCTTAACTTTAGTGACCTGTACAATCTACCTGTATCATATGTGGCCAGTGTTACATATGATTAATAAATAATAACATATTTTATCATAGAGTATTAGTAGGACCTACTATAAATGGTCCAACTCACAAAGGGGGTTATTTATTAAAACTGGAGCATTCAAAATCTGGTGCAACTCTGCATAGAAACCAGTCAGCTTCCAGGTTTTTATTGCCAAAGCTTAATTAAGCAAGCTGAAGTTAGAAGCTGATTGGCTACCATACACAGCTACCAAAAACAAATAAACAGAAATAGTAAATCATGATTGATAGGGAATTGTCACAAATTGACAAAATCTTTCAAAAATGCAAGAATATCTTTATAAGGAATTACACGAGACTTTGACTTTTAAGTGGGCTGTTTCACTGAAGGTAAAAAAAATAGTTTGCTCTCTCCATGACACGAAAAATTGTAAGACTGTTCTAGGACTGGAAATGTAACCAATTTGCTCATAGTGTGTTAATCTTATTACGCTTGTTTATAAGAAGTCATTACACATACAATGGGGTTGCAGAAACAGAAAAAATGTGCATTAAGCCTTATTTTGAGGACAATATTTAAAGTAAAACTGATCTAAAATTTGGAGGACATATCGTGTAAGGAGTAGGAGGATGGATCTGGATTGAACTACATCTGAGATTGGAGGCTGGAAAGTGCAGGAGGCTATACCTACCCTGGTTAAAGGGAAAAGCACTATTTGACTTAAATGTATAGGTCATATATTGAAGGTGAGAGTATATATTTATGAGAGTGGAGGAGGCACACATGTGGCTTGATTATTAGAACGGTACAAGTTGCACAATTGTTTACTGCTGTATAGGATGATCACCATACAAAAAAAGGACTACTTCATATAATTTTGCTTATAAGCACTTAAGAATTTATTTCCATCTTTATTTGTTAGGGTATTGATGAGTTTGCACAAACGCTATTGTATGCACTATATATGGCACTGTTTAATTTGCACAAAATGCGATTGTATGCACTATTTATGGTATACAGCATTGTTGTTTATTGTACACTTTATATGATAATTTTAGTTATAGCACACTGAATTGCGTGCCGCTGTTGACAGATTTTCAAAGACAATTTCTGATTTATTTTCTTAACTCAAGCTAAAGAAATGAAGTCTAACTTGCAACAGGTATCATTTCTTTGCGCCAGTTTAGTCAGCACCTATGCATAAATGGGCACACCAGGTTTGATCAGAGAGAAAGTCAAAGATTTCAATGACCTTCTAAAGTAGGCTTTCTCAAATGTAACCTTTGGGAACTAGGGCTTTCTCAAATGTAACCTTTGGGAACTCTTGAAATACACTATATTGCCAAAAGAATTGGGACGTCTGCCTTTAAACGTACATGAACTTTAATGGCATCCCAGTCTTAGTCCGTAGGGTTCAGTATATTGAGTTGTCCCACCCTTTGCAGCTATAACAGCTTCAACTCTTCTGGGAAGGATGTCCACAAGGTTTAGGAGTGTGTCTATGGGAATAGTCAGGCACTGATGTCGGTTGAGAAGGCCTGGCTTGCAGTCTCCGCTCTAATTCATCCCAAAGGTGTTCTATCGGGTTGAGGTCAGGACTCTGTACAGGCCAGTCAAGTTCCTCCACCCCAAACTCGCTCATCCATGTCTTTATGGACCTTGCTTTGTGCACTGGTGTGAAGTCATGTTGGAACAGGAAAAGGCCATCCCCAAACCGCTCCCACAAATTTGGGAGCATGAAATGAAAAACAACCCCACAGAAAACCAAGCCCAACCCCTGAAAAAACAACCCCCCCCCCCCCCCCCCCCTGCCAAACTTTAAAGCAGTCAGGCAAGTACCGTTCTCCTGGCAACCACCAAATCCAGACATGTCCATTGGATTGCCAGACAGAGAAGCGTGATTTGTCACTCCAGAGAACAAGTCTCCATTGCTCTAGAGTCCAGTAGTGGCGTGCTTTACACCACTGCATCGACGCTTTGTATTGCACTTGGTGATGTAAGGCTTGGATGCAGCTGCTGGACGATGGAAACCCATTCCATGAAGCTCTCTATGCACTGTTGTTGTGCTAATCTGAAGGCCACATGAAGTTTGGAGGTCTTTAGCTATTGACTCTGCAGACAGTTGGTGACTTCTGCACACTGTGCGCTTCAGCATGCACTGACCCCGCTCTGTCATTTTATGTGGCCTACCACTTCGTGGCTGAGTTGCTGTTGTTCCCAGTTGCTTCCACTTTGTTATAATAACAGTAATAGTTGACCGTGGAAGATTTTGTAGCAAAGAAATTTCATAGATGGACTTATTGCACAGGTGCAACCTATCACGATACCATACATGTATTCAATGAGCTCTTGAGAGCCACCCATTCTTTCACAAATGTTTGTAGAAGCAGTCTGCATGCCCAGGTGTTTGGTTTTCTACACCTGTGACCATGGAGGGGATCTGAACAGCTGAATCCAATGATTTGGAGGGGTCCCCCAATACTTTTGGCAATACAGTGTAACTTTCCAGGCTCAGGGAACCCTTACTAATAATTACTATATCTACAGCTCACAGTACATTAGTGAGATGGTAACTAGTAACACGCTCCTTACATTTGTTGTCAATGGGAATACTCACCCCTTACAGATAGCTAAAAACACAATTTGTTTTTCCAAGGAACTCCTAGAAGGCTATGTAGGAACCCTAACTGAAAAAGGCTGCTCTAAGGTCTAAACTCTTCACACTGTCCTAAACACACTACGGCTACACAATAGTCGATGATGGAAATCCCATATATATACATATATTTGAAAATTATAAGCAAATAATATTGTCTGGAATAAGTAGATCAGCTTTTCGCCCCTACATGACATTAAAAACAAAACTCCCAGCAGGATGTGCTATAAATAAAAGTAACAAATGCTTCATATACAGTAACAACTGTATCAAATACTAAAAGAGAAGAAAGTTAATGCATACCTTGGCAGAGAGACTTCCAGTTGTAGTAGTAAAGGGCTCAGGTACGTGTTTAAGGCCTCTACTATCTCATGAAACTGTGTACTGCTTTTCTTCTCACTCTCATCTTCTGGAATACTGGGTGCATCCTATACAGAATAAATAACTATCAGAAACTCTAGTAAACAAACTAACAAGAGCTAACTGGATGTTACCTATTTGTAGCACAGAGCAGCCAGAACAACAAAAAATGATTTCTGGTTGTTTGAAACACCTTATATATCCCTATTTTTTTATTGCTTGCCCAAGGGCACTTCAAATAGTATTTAAAAGTGAAATAAAATCCTTTTACAGCTTCTGGATGTACTTGGTAGCTCCCTGCAATTGGATGGGCTTGGTATAACTTGAAAAAGCGCCTAACAGAGCATTCACAAAAAATGTCCAAACTACTTCAACTAACTCCCATTTCAGAGGGCCAGATACTCACTAGCTCAAACTCACTAGCATCTTACAACAGTGTTTCTCGACCTTTTTTCAGTCAAGGCACCCTTTAAAATTATGGACAGTCTGGAGGCACCCTTTAAAATTATGGACAGTCTGGAGGCACCGCATTCTAAAATGGGGTGCCTCCAGACTGTCCATCATTTTAAAAGGGCACCGCATTCTAAAATGTGAAAAACTATTATAATAATTTTATATAACGCAGCAACATCCACACATGTAGGGCACTCAACATTAGAGTGATTTATTCTTCCATTCTTTGCACGCTAATAGTATTCCAGTGTTCCTCTTCTCCCTCAGTTTTTCTCCATCACTGAGCTAATGTGACCTCAGCATCGATGGAGAAGGGCAGGGAAGGGTCAAACTAGGATGCTGTGCAGGCAGCTGACATCCTCCTTATCAACTGATGTCATTGGTTTTCAGGACCCCGGTGCTAGAAGGTTGTAATGGTGTACAATGAAAACCTGTGGCTTTGTGTAACTAAAAGACAGGATTGTTCCACCTGCTGGCTTGTATACACGTTTTTATGCAATTTGTACACATTTTGCCAAGGCACCCCTGAAGAAACCTCAAGGCACCCTGGTTGAGAAAGGCTGTCTTACAATACAATACATCCATGCTACTGTGCATTTTCTGCTCTTGAGCAGTGTGTGTGAATGCTTTCCTGTAGAGAAAACGCCTCTCTATGGTGTACATGGCTGTCAGTAATTATTACTACAAGTATCATTTGTGATGCTTTCAGCACCAGAAAAGTGCAATAAAAATTGACAATCATGTACAATGCAGTAAACAAGAGTCTCTGTAATAGGCACATTTACACAGAACATGTAGAGAAGGAGCTCAAAGTAATATTTTCTTTTCCTAACACTCAGTACAGTGAAAGCATCAATACAATGCTGGAAACCCTTAGGTGACTTCACATACTTTTACTATTTGTGGGAGCATCCTAGAAGCCCCATACCATGAGGAAGTCTAAGTTGCAAATCTCGACTGTCACAGAAAAAAGTCAAATGCCAGTCTATTGCTTGTCTGCTGTAGCTCCCTAATAAACATTGTACTCCATCAGGCTGAAGAGCCAATATGGAGCTGAAGGAGGCAAGAAGAGCTCCCTTAAATTTGCTTGGAGAAAATGGAGGTTTGCATATTATGAAAAAATTAAAGATATTGTAAACTATGTACAGACAGCTTGACTTTTTATATACTCTACTAGTAACATATCTTGTGGGTTTCCTTATTTAATCACTTACATTAAAGCTGGCCATAAACAAACTGAAAACAGCAATAATGCACTCGATTTCAAGCCATAATTGGGTCATTTCTGATCTCTTGGTGACAATAATGAAAGCCTTTGAGAGATGCTCCTTATTGCAAAGGAAGATTTATCTAAATTCCATTTAGAAGAATGAAGGATCATAGCAGTATTCATATTCTATTGTCCCCATAGAGTGAGTATCATGGTGGAATCTGGCCTTACAACAACAGTAATAAATCACCAAATTGTTTGTACTCCTAGAGACAAAAGGATTGTATTGTATTAGACTGTTGGCCAGTCCAAGATAATTCCCCCTACTCACAGCATGCCTTAGTTTTATAACAAAGCAATACTGAGAGCATGAACATAAATAAAGGGGGTCTAGACCTTTGTTCCTCAAAGGATTTTATGGTGAGTACAAAAATTATATTTTCTTTCCCGTATATTGAAGGATACAGGAAGTCATTCACACCCAATAACAATCCAACTAATAGGTAGGCAACTGAGTAAGCTAACATTAACAGCTCAAGAATAAAGAAGAGCAATTGGGGACTGCCTGCAGTTCAAAAAGCCGCCTGAAGGACCTTATGCCTGAAGCTGGCACCAGAAGAGTCTTGAATATCCACCTGAAAGTACCTAGAAAAAATGAGAACAAAAGACCAGGTGGCATTGCAAATGGAAAACAGTAGCCTTATGCTCACAGATCTAGTAGAGTACACCTTTACAGAAAAGGGTTGAACCTTCTTCTTGCGTCTATAAACCTGGAAGATAGTCTGTGTGAGCCACCTAGAGATTGTGGAATGAGTAATAGACAGAGGGACAGAAGAATAATGCTCTGATTTAGGTGAAAGGAAGAAAGCCCCACAGGCATGAAAAGAAATCTTAAACCTCAGCACCCCTTGTCCCTATGCAAAACCAAAAAGATACCTTGCAGGATAAGGCCACCAGTTCAAATACTAACTTAGCAGAGGTGATGAGGAATACCACCATGTGGATGAGGGTAGAGAGAAGAATGTCTAATGAGTTCAAATGATGGCTTCCGAAATACAGAGAAAACCAGATTCAGAGGCCACGGACACACAGGGAAACAAACAGAGGGAACTATAAAAGAGATTCCCTGTACAAGGGTCTTACCCAAGAAATAAGAAGCCCCATCATGCTGTTAAGACCATCAATCTTCAAGCAGGATGGTAAATCAGTTCTTGAAACAGAAGAGCCAGACAATCTGGAATAGCCATCATGGGGAAAATGAATTTCCAAGTTTACCAAAATATCCTACAGGATAATGTCAGGGTGGCTTTCTGCTAAATGCAGCTTAGTAGAAGTTGAGTGATGCGGCAGGACAATGACCCTAAGCATCAAAGTAAATTCACCATAGACTGCCTTCAGAATAAGAAAATGTGCCATTTGGAGTGGCCCAGTCAGGGCTCAGACCTTAACCCCTTAGAGGTGCTGTGGAATGACCAGAAGAGCCATTCACACTAGACATTCTAGAAATGTGTCTGAGCTGAAGCAGTTTTGTAAAGAGGAAAGATTCCTGCTGAACGTTGTGCAGATCTGATCCAGATCTAGCGAAAGCACCTGCTTGAAGCCATTGCTGCCAAAGGAGGTTCAACCAGATATTATCTCACTTACTTTTTCCTGCAACACATTGAATATTTAATGGGTGTGTGTTCAATAAAGACACAAAAAAATTAGAATTGTTTGTGTGTTATCGGCTTATGCACATTGTGTTTGTCTATTTTGTGACTTAGATTAAGATCAGAACACATTTCTTGCCATTGTATGTGAAGCTGAATGGTTGAGACCCTAACAAGCAACAAAAGGACCATACCAGGTAGATGTATATTGAAATTACAATTCTGAAACTTAAAGTGGTTGTAAAACCTCAGACATGAATTGTGATCAAAGCATATCTCTTTATAGTGTGCACTTTTCTCAGTCCAAAGCACTAAGTGTCATTTCTGTTTGCTGCCTTGTTCCTCTACTATCAGCATGAATCACTTCTGACATGTTGATAGTATCAAGTTCAGCGGATGGCGTATACCACGATGTACACAGAATCAGTGTCAGGAACAGGCAGAGGTGGAAACAATCAGGAAACGTGGTACAGAATCATCAGCAGCACTGTACTCAGTAGTCCAAGCCGGGGTCGGTAAAAGAGGCATGCAGTAAACATGAGCAGGTAAAGATAATACAAGAGCAAGGTCAGAGCAGAAGCCAAGTCGGTAACAGGATCACGGATCAGGACTGGATCACGAGTATAAGGCCGAAGACCATACAGCACAGGACCATTTAAATAGGCCGCTTGTCAGCAGTGCGCACATGCTTGTGCGAATGTACATGTGTGCATGTGCGAGTGCTCATATATGCGGGCAAATGAGCAGTCTGTTTTCTACATTATGACTAAGTACATATTTAGTAGCCAAACAACAAGTCTTAGTGTGATGGCTGGTAACATGTTCCTGGCAGCCTTATTCTAAAAATCAAAGAAAGCTTTTATTTTTCTGCAACCAAAGTACATTAATGGTATGTGGATACATAGGGGAGCTAGCCTTTAAAGTCTAAGCCATTTTTTACTTTCATTTTAAATAGTTTGTTTGGGCCAAGCTGGCCAAAATGAACTATGCCCTTTGTGAATTGCTGCAGCTACTGTCAGAGCTATATAGACTATATTTTTTTTCATTCAGATATTATTTTTAAAATTTTGAGTAACAAACATATAAAGTAAACAATAGGAAAAACACAGCAGAAAACAATGGGTTATATTTAGCACCAGCTACATACAGTATACAGTGCTGTGTTCCAGCAGCGGTACAAAGACTTCCCATCTGCTGTCAGAACAAAATCGAGTTGGGTTGAGCGCTGCATAGCTATTCACAGGAAACCTTGTATTTTATCAATGAACAGAAGGCTTGCCCGCCTCTCCACCCTCAGCCAATTAGATGAAGCCTTGTATTGATTAATTAAATACAAGGCTTCCTGTGAATGGCTGAGCAGCGCTCATTCCAACTTGATTTTGTTCCGGCAGCATATAAGAAGTCTCTGTACTGCTGTCAGAACACAATGCTATATAATGTATGGAGCTGAAGTTACATACAATTTCTACAGCAATGATAACGGGTGCATCTGATAGTAAAGGAAATAGTTCCTTTGGGTCAGTTTGGTGAAAGTGAAAGTAAACATGGAGTTAATATGGGCACATGCCCATATTAAAGGCACATGAGAAACAGAAAATGAGTAATATCAACCAGAGACAATCAGCTTACAGTTTCACCAAGACGTATTAGCGCTGCAAGCATTACCATTGCTGGATTGTTGTTAATATTTTCAAATGCATTCTTCTGCCTAGTGAAGCTTAGTTGATGTTCCCTTTTGACGAGATCCTGCATGGTTTCTTGTTTGAACAGCTCCATTTTCTCCAACAAGCTGGAAAACATCTTCCGATTCACAGCACATCTGGCAACTCTGGTTCGCACTGCTGAAATGAAGTAAAGAATAACTAATGCAGTAACAAGAACAGTACTAATTTAGCAAAAAGAGAACAGATACTTCTCAGCAGAAATGTTCCATTCATTGAACAGTGTCAATAAAAAAACTTACTGGTTCTTGATTGTTGATTTAACTTTCCTTTTTGTGTTGAGATAACCTTTGGTTTTTCAAGTAGAGCACCGTACAAGAAAGATCTATTGGAAACAATAAAGCAGATTTAAATACAATGTAATTACCAAAATATAGATCAGTAAGGCTCGTTTACACTGGTGTGACTTGTCATGCGCTTTGATTGTTGAATGGAAGCGGTCATATCAGTGTAATTCCGACTCCGGAGGAGTCGTACCGATTTTGAAAGTACTTCATGCACTACTTTTTGCAAGTTCGGGTGCGACTTGAATAGACATCCGTGCATGAAGTCCCACAGATGTCTTCCAAGTCGCACCTGAAGTCGGGCTGACATGATTTCAAAGTTGGATTCAGTGTGACTGAAGACTTAGATTCAGATTCACCAAAATCTGTAATGAATATAAACTGTAATGATTAATTGTTTCCTTTTTGTAAATGTTCTTAGAGCAACAATGTAATGTAGTTTTGAGCTATAGTACCGAAGGTAGGTAAACATGTATAAAGAACCAGTAAGCTGTGAAAGAAAAGCCTAATCATAATATTGTTAAAAAGTTTCCCTTCTCATGTGCGGACTGACAACTCAAGGGGCAATAGGAGATCATCGGGCCCAGAGTCCCATCCACACTTAAGCCACACCTACACAAAGCCCCACCTACATAATGCAACGCCCATATTACATGCGATCATCACATAATTCCTCTACACTATGTTCAGAATAAATGTTTATTGATTAAAAAAAAAAGAAAAGAAACTTACAATAAAGAAAGTGCAACATTGGTACATTTCCAAAATTTACCGAACAAAATTCCAGAGTGATCCATAGGATACAGTATTAAAAATCTGAACAAAATTTAGGAACAAAAATGAATATTGGGGGATAATTAAATTGCAAATTTTGAGGGCTGTAGGTAGCGCCTGCTGGTTACATAGTACAGTAAAGATGCCTGATGATTGAGGGGTTCATTGCCTTGTGTGGCTGTTTGGATCCTACTCAGCTCCTTCCTGACAGGGTTGCCACCCCCCCACAACTTTTCTTTTTTTTACACTGTGAAAACATGGAAAAATCTACTGACAGCACACATTTTTACTGAGAAGAGAGGTTTGAGGTGTAGAGACAAAAGGAGAGAATGGGGGGAGGGGGGTGGTAATAGGAGAGAGATGGGGGAGATGGGAAAGTAGGAGAGAGATGGAGGATGGGGGGGGGGGAGAGAAGGGTGGGTAACGGGGGGGGGGGCAGAGAAAGAGGGGATGTGAAAGAGACGGGGGGGGGAGAGAGAGAGAGGGCGTGAAAGGACGATCTGAGAGAGACAGAGGGGGGTGGTAGAGAGAGGGGTGAGAGGGAGAGATGAGGGTGAGAGAGAGAAAGGTGTGAGAGAAAGGGGGGGGTAAGAGAGAAGGGGGAGACAGACGGCATGAAAGGAGAATTTGAGAGAAAAAAGGGGGTGAGAGAGAGAGAGAGGTGTGAGAGAGAGAAGGGGGTGAGAGAGAGAGGAGTGTGTGAGAGAGAGAGTCAGAAAGAGAGAGAGAGGGTCAGAAAGAGAGAGGGGGATGTGAAAAGGGAGTGAGAGGGGAATGTGCAGTATGTCTTCTATTGTGAGCTTCTGCTGGCAGACAAACCTTCTGTGCTATTGTCAGGCTTGTACAGCTGAGCTGAGGTAAGGGGTGGCTTGTCTGTCCCCTGCCATAAGAGGGCTTAAAGTACACCTGCAGAAAGCCCAGAGTGCACACAGCCCACAGTGCCCAGATCTAACTTTTGGAAAAGATTTGTGACAGGTGCTCTCTAACCCCTCCCCCCCCTTCCTTCTCTATGTGCCTGTTGTGATCTGCCCAATGCAACTACCTGCATACGTGGAACACAACATACACAATGTGGAATTAACCCCCCTGCAGGAAGGGGTGGAGAAATGCATCAGCAGTCCCCTTGCTTGACCTTTGCAGTCACCCTCCCTCCTGGCACTGCTGATTGGCATGATTAGGTGGTATTGTGCTAGTCACGTGGAAATAGTCAGGAGGAAAGTGGCACCCAGCTGACCCTCTACTGATTGCTCTGTGTGTTGTGGTTTGAATGTGTACTGCTCATATTGCCTGGCATCACACAATGCAAGCCATGTACAATGCATTCTGGTGCCCCAAGTCTTTGTTCTCTAGTGGCACATACACAGCACACTATAAAACAGATCCCAGATCTCCTGGAAGGGGTGTACAGTGATTTGAGTGCTGCCCATAGAATCAGGCATCCTGTCTCCCTGACTATGCTTCTCACCTGACCCCACCACCACTCCTCACCTTTCCCCCTCTCCTCACTTTTCCCCCTTCTCTCCAGCTTCCCACCCGTGCAGCTCTCCTGTTCTCATTGCAGGATATCCAGGATAGGTCGGGGACACTTTTATAGTTATAGGTATAATTAGGGCTTTCTTCCACTTTAAATTATAGGTTCACCTTTGGGAACATGTAACATGTTCCACCCGGTGTTTGGTTGGAACATGTAACTTGTTCCCGCTCCTGCAGCTGCACGGCAATCCGCTACCGCTGTATGACAGGAGTGCTGTCAATCACAGTCAGTGAGGAGGGAGCAGGGGGCAGGGCCGAGCGGCACTCTCTCTGTGTCTTTTGGTTACTTCATGCACTGGAAGGATACAATGTTTATTAAGTCAACTTCCAGAGCTAATCAGATTTATTAGGAGGGTTTTTGTCCCCACCATGTGTGGGGTGTTATATGCTGTTTTTAATATTCTTTTATATGAATTTGTACAATAAAATGTATGTTTTATAGAATTTTACCTGATCTCTTATGCTGTGCTTATATAGTCCTACATTGAGATAGGCTGGTTATTGTTTTCGAGCTTCTATCAGTCTTTTCTCTTATATTTTTTGGATGAGGAACACAGAAAGTCTTTCTTTCTGAGGACACTTGAGGACAGAAGTTCAGAACGCTGCACCAAACTATACAACAATGAACTATACAACAAAACAACTAGGTATACATTGATAAAGTGAGAGGATAAGTGAAAGAAAGTGATGCAAGCAATTGATGCAAAAAATCAAGTAAATGTTTTAGATAGAATATGCAGATTACCTGTCTTCTGAATGTTGCAGAATAATTAAACTGAAGTTTGGTGGCAGCTCACCAAACATACTGAAATGCTGCATTGGGACATGCAGATTCCCCCATACCTAAAAGATAGGAAAATTAGAGGAGATTACATTGCACAGTTACAAAGCTGCCATGAACCCAACAGAAGGAGTTTTGTATAATCGAACTTGGGCTATGAATACATTTCTTATTGGTGATTTTCAGACAACAGCCTTCTGGAGATCATATGTGTGGTTAATTACAGAACATTTGTCTTGAACTACATAAAATTCAATCCATGTTAGAGAAAGAGCTGGACTACTTGTCTTTTTGAAATCAAAACGTGTTTACATGGTGGTATGTGAAATAAGAAAGCTGTGAATCTTCTTTAGGTAGAAACCTGTAAAAACATTGGCAAAAAGTAGATTCAACAAAAGACATTGAGGTGCTTAGTTAATCCACTCACAAGTTAGGTATACTTCATTGAAAACATTTGCATTAACTGTGGGAATTTACAACTACTGTAGCTGTATATGTCGGGAGCTCCACAACATTATTCCAAGCCTGCCAACATACCAGGTATTAGGTTGGGACAGTGTTAACCACCTTTACCAATTAGCCCAATTCTGCCTGCTACACCCATATAAGTCCCAGCCAAGCTACACATTTGCGCTATAGACTGAACCCATGTGAAGGCCCAAAAGAGGGGAGTCAAAACAAAACAGGGACAGGATGGAGACTTTGCTTGGGGATCCTAGTGCTCACAGTGGCTGGTTCCTGCAATGTACAGCAAGAAAAAAAAAAAGGTATTTACCCATTATTTAAAAAAAAAAACAAAAAAAAAATCAGATGTCTAGACACTTGTAAAGGTAAGGGGGAAATGATTGTGATACTCCTATACCAATATGTCCCAAGATTAGTCTTGATAATTGTAAAGTAATTAGTTTCCAATAATTCACAGCTAACCATAATGGCTGATTACTTCTTGCTACTTTATAATTGTATTCATTACAGGAAAATCATGTAGATAGCTGGGCCTTAGTCAAAGCCATTTCTTCTATATCTGTCTTGTTACCTGAGCTTTCGTATAGCTCCCAATGTCCCCTTTTTTTACTCTATTACAATTAAATTATAATGTTTGTACACATTTCAAATTCAGGGACAACTTGACTTTCCTACCTATTGTAATTTTTACTTGTTATACCTTGATAGGTTTGATGGCGACCCTGTCAAAATTAAAAAAAAAAAAAACATCTGGCAAAGAAAAAAAAAAAAGAAAGGTATATATATACAATATATATACAGTCATGGCCGAAATTGTTGGCACCCTTGATATTTTTCCTGAAAATCAAGTATTTCACACAAAAAAGGTATTGCATTAACACATGTTTTGCTATACACATGTTTATTCCCTTTGTATGTATTGGAACAAATATAAAACAGAGGCAGAAAAGCAAATATGACATAATGTCACACAAAACCCCAAAAATGGGCTGGACAAAAGTATTGGCACCCTTAACTTAATATTTGGTTGCACACCCTTTGGAAAACATAACTGAAATCAGTCGCTTCCTATAACCATCAATAAGCTTCTGACACCTCTCACCCGGAATTTTGGACCACTCTTCCTTTGCAAACAGCTCCAGGTCTCTCTTATTGGAAGGACACCTTTTCCCAACAGCAATTTTAAGATCTCTCCACAGGTGTTCAATGGGATTTAGATCTGGGCTCATTGCTGGCCACTTCAGAAC